CCTCCCGCCCCTCAGGTGAGGCCCTACGCCCTCTCTCCTCTCAGGTGAGGCCCTACGCCCTCGCTCCAGGGGAGGTCGGCTCCGTCGCCCTCTCCAGGCCGCGGAAACAGTGTAAGAATGTGATTGCGAGGGACTTTTTTTGAGTGTTAGAGCATTAGTTCAGAGCACGTGGGGAGGGAAGAGCGGGATATTTCTTAGGCACCCACTCGAGGGCAGCAGAGCGTCGCTGAAATGGCGGGTTCTGGGTTTTCTTCCCTCCTCCGCATTGTTTCTCCACAAAACGTGTGCAGTGAGGAGTGTCACAAGCACCTCCGCTGTGTCTGTTTTATGTCACAAGCAGCACGAGTAAAGCACCGGCTGCTCCAAAGGGCCAGGACTATGCGGGGATTAGCAAAGGAGGTCCACAGAGGGGACCACCCCGACTTAAAACAGCTGTGGTTTTACCAAAATATTGACTCTTTCAGTGCTTTTCAAACCACAATACTGCACAAGGCTCAGAGCTAGGAGACAGGAGGAGACATTGCACCTGCTCAGCTAATCCCAATGAGTCCCAGAACTGTCTAGTTTGAAAGGGACCTTAAAGCTCATCCATTTCCACTCCATGCCATGGGCAGGGACACCTTCCACTATCCCGGGTTGTTCCAAGCCCCATCCAACCTGGCCTTGGACACTTCCAGGGATGAGACACAGCTTCCCTGGGCAATCTGTGCCAGGGCCTCCCCACCCTCAAGGGGAACAATTTTCCCCTAATATCTAGACCAACTCTTTTTGAGTTGAAAGTGCACCTGTTACCCCACAAACTGCTGCTGCAGGACATAATCCTGCTCCAGAAGTGCTTCTGCAACCATCTGACAACCCAGCAGTGACTATTTTTCTTCACTGAAATTCATTTCCTGTGCAGTGAGGGCTGGGTAATGCCCTGCCTGCCCCACTGTGCTGTTAACAAGCAACGAGGCAGAGACCTGAACAGGTTGGTACCTCTTCTAAGTGGGATTTTTGGCCACCGGGATTATTCCTGGTGCCATTCCCAACACAGATTGAAGAAGTGGCAGCAGCTGAGAATGCCGGGAGAGCAGGCTGGAGGCAAAGTGCAAAGGGAAGAGAGCAAATCTCTGATGGCTTTGCAGTGCATTCCCAGGTGATGACTACAGAGACCCCCGGGGGGAACCACAGCTCCATTTCCATCACCTCTGACACTTGTGAGAAGAGACAAACCAGAGGTTGCTTGGCCGCCTTCCTTCTTCCTGCCAGCCCCAGAACACAAAGGTGAATTTATCAGCTAAAGAGGAAGGCAGTATTTTTGCAGCTTTTGCTGATTTAAAAATACCACAGGGTTTTTTATGCCAATGGTTTCATCTTAATGCTTTGCTTGTGTTACAGCACAGTTACTGACACACTGATCCTGAGCTGGAAGGGAGCCACAGGGATCATCCAGTCCAAATCCTGGCCCTGCACAGACACCCCAATAATCTCACCCGGGCCTGAGAGTTTTCCAAATGCTCCTGGAGCTCTGGCAGCCTTGGGGCTGTGCCCATTCCCCAGGGAGCCTGGGCAGTGCCCCAGCAATCTCTGTAGGAAGAATATTTTCATCATTCAGTCTAACCCTCACCTGACACAGCTCCAGCTGTTCCTTGGGTCCTGTCTGTGGTCACAGAGAGCAGAGATTGGAGCTGCCCCTTGGGAGGAAGCTGCAGCCCCTGGTGAGCTCTGCCCTCACCCTCTTCTCCAAGCTGAACAGACCAAGTGACCTCAGCTCCTGCCTTTCTTGCAAGAAGTTTAACGGACATTTGTTTTCCAGCCCTTGGTCTACATTTACAAATCTAGGCAGTACATGACCCTCAGAGAGTGTAAACCCCAAAACTGCCTACAACCCTCACTGGGCATTGCCCACATCTCCTCAAGATCCTCCCCTTTAGCAGTGGGATAAGAAGACACCAGCAGGGATAAATAATCTGGAATTTCCTAGGAATAAGGGAATGTTCCCTGTCCCAGTGGTGGCAGACACCTCAATGCTTCTGAAAATGCTCTGAGCAGGAGAAGAGGGAGGAAAAGAAACAGCTGATCTGATCATGCTTTGATCCTTCACATTTAAATGTAGGTAACCAGGAGTTAGGGAAGCCTCCCTACCTTCGGGGAACCTGAGCCTGCTGTGCTTGGCCTCTGCAGCAGGGATGCAGATGTGTGAGATGATCCCAAGGAGATTATCTCCCTGCTCCCAGAAGCACCCAGAGATGCAGGGAGTGCAGCTGGATTGAAGAGACATTTTTCTGTTTGCTTAGGCCACTTCCAGTTTCTATTATAATGTCAATCTGGATTTGGGGGCCTCCTGGCCATGGTCTCCACAGAAATATTTCTGCCAGAGTTTGTAAAACACCTTTTGCAGTTAAATTAACAGTCTCACCTCACTGTTTCCTACAGCATTCTCCCTGAGAAACTAGCTGCTCATGGCTTCCATGGGTGCACTGTTTGCTGGGCAAAAACCTGGCTGCTGCCTGGGCACAGGGAATGGTGGGAATGGAGTTACATCCAGCTTGGGCTGGGCACCACTGAGGAACCCCAGAGCTTAGTATTGGACCCAGCACTGTTTAATATCTTTATCCATGATGTGGACAAGGGGATTTGCCACCCTCAGTACGTTCTTAGGTGACACCAAGATGGGTGAGAGTGTGGAGGGCAGGAAGGCTCTCCAGAGGACAGGCTGGATCTCTGGGCTGAGGACAACGGAATGAGGGTCAACAAGGCCAAGTGCCAGGTCTTATCCTTGGGCCACACCAACCCTGTGCAGCTCCAGGCTGGGGACAGAGTGACTGGAAAGCTGGGGAAGGCCATAGAGGTGTTTGTGACAGCGGCTGGACATGAGCCCAGGTGTGCCCAGGTGGGCAGGAGGCCAGTGGCCCCTGGGCTGTCCCAGCCATGGTGTGTCCAGCAGGCCCAGGGCAGTGACTGTCCCTCTGTGCTGGCACCTGTGAGGCACCTCCAGTCCTGGGGACAGTTCTGGGCCCATCAGTTCAGGAGATTGAGGGGCTGGAGCAGCAGGAGCAGCTGAGGGAGCTGGGAAAGGGGCTCAGCCTGGAGAAAAGGAGGCTCAGGGGGCCCTTCTGGGTGTGCATAACTCCCTGACAGGAGGGGACAGCCGGGATAGGGGTCAGGCTCTGTTCCCAGGGAACAAGGGACAGGTTACAGCTGAAATGCTAAAATAAGGAACAAGTTCCACTGTGGCCGGTGTTCTCTAGAGACAGTTATCAGTTCCTTTTGCCAACAACATGCATCCTGTGAATACATTTACATGGGAATTGGGATCCTGCTGATTTGCAAATCAAAGTAAAAGATGATGTTTCTTTATGCAGAGTGTGTGATGCTGTGAGATACTGTGAGGAAGGAGCCTGAAGGGATCAGGATGATATGTCCCTCCCTTATAAAGAGACCAAAAAACATCGGAAAAAGGCAGAACATTAGAGTCAGGGTGGGCCAGGAGGTTGCCTCCTGCCTTCCTCCATTCTGAGGATTTAGTGAAGGGAGCCCAA